CATATAAGGGACTGCGCCCGGGTCCAGCTCAAGCTTAAGTCCGTAACACTTGCCCTATCTACAAAGCTCTACAAGGTTCTAGGCTCTTTTAGTCCCTACTACAAGTATCTACATGCCTCTGGAGTATTCTTGAAACCTCTCATTCAATGAGCATTCTCTCAATTACATCGACCCTTGAAGAGGACTCGAACCTCCACGCTCTTTAGCACGAGATTTTGAGTCTCGGTCTATAGTCGGGTACTTGGGACGCCTAATTGGACTTGCCATAACTAGAGAAGTATGATTTCATTGCTTAAGAAGGCGCCTGATCCTAAATTAGACCGTCAAACTCTTGGGTCCTTACAATATCTCTGCTTTTGTTTATGGAAATTTTCAAAAAATTTCCCACATTTTAACTCAATTATTTTTTTTAACTCAACTTTAATTCAACCTCACTATCATCAATATTATCAATATAATTAAATAATATCAACCAATCATTCGTACACACCACATCAACCTTAATTCACTATTCATCCACTCACATTATTTAACTAACTATCACATCAAACTATCTATCTCCTACTTTTATATCAAATCATTTTAATTATTTTATTTTAAATATTATTTTAATATACCCACTAACAACTAACCATACCACCTTTTTCAAAATTAACCAAATCAAACCAAAAAATCCAAACAAAACCAAAAGTTTCCATAAACAAACATGCACTAACTCCTTTAGTTGCCTTTGGCAATTAACTTTATAAATAATATTTGAATATTCAAATTGAATAATAGAATAATAAATAAAACTTTTATGTTTTTTTTAAATATAAATACTTTTATGATTTTTTTTTACTGTATATATATTTTTTTCAGATACCCGTAGTATAGTACGAGTATTTGTACTAATAAAATCATTATTTATTAATTAAATAAATATAGTTATTGGTCTACTATATAATGTTAGGTAAAAAAAAGTATTATAATGTATGAAAAAAAAATTAGTGTGTCATTTTAGACAAAATGACGATATATTTTTTACACGAGTATTCGTACTAGTAAAATTGTTATTTATCAATTAAATAAATATGATTATTAGTCTACTATATAATGTTGGCTAAAAAAGTATTACATTATATAACGAAATAATTTTAGTGTGTCATTTTAGATAAAATTAATAATATATTTTATTAAAATTAAATACAATTTTTTTTTTATTAATAATCTACTATCATATACATTATAGAACTCAATATTACAAAAGTATATCAATTATATTAGTCTTCATCCTATGGTACAACTCAATCCTCCTATTCATATAAAACATATTAATTAATCTTTATCTTATTGACCGACTTATATATATATATATATATATATATATATGCGTACATATGTGCACAGTTGCAATGTTCGCGTAAACCCTCGCAGGTACTCTAGGGTTCCAAAGAGTTTTCAAAGGTAATCTAGTTATTCTGGTCTTTGATCATATTTCTGGATCGATCGACAGTAAGTTAGTTTCAATTCCTTGCAATTTCAGCACATTCTGATTTTGAGATTCACTTATGAAGCAATGAATACGTTCGCTGATGAATGCGATTTTCACCCGTTTATTCGATTATATCATTCTTTGTTGTTAATGAATGAAGTTGTTTGCGGCTGGTAATTCTAATGACGCTTTGTTTGTGCTTTTATATCGATCCTGTTGGCTGTTCAGGATTAATGGAAGGGTATGAGATATGATTTGAGTTTAATTTTGGAAAGCAGATTGTTATTAATCATGAATTATGTAATTTAGAACCTTAGATGATGTTTCGAAAATGTTGGGGGTGGTTGAGATGGATACTTTGTTGAATGGGAATTTGTAATTTGTGAATTGTAACATGTTCTGGTGTCGAGGGTTGAAGTGTTCGAATTAGAAAGTAACTTGAGATTGTATAGTGATCTTAACAATTCAAATTGTGTTGAATAGTACCGGAAATATATTTTAAAATTTCTTCACTCTTCCTCAGATGTCAAGTCACGAGATTGATGAGAAGCCGGTTTTTCAATCTACTGTGGACTCACCTGAAGCAGCAGGCGAGCAGCAACAAGCTCACAGAGGGTCACCAAGTGATGGATCCAAGGTCTGCAGCTTCTATACTTTGTGTTTTGTTTTTCTTGAGATGGGTTTGTTATGATTCTTATTTTTGGAAAAAAGCTGGAGATAGCCAGAGAGGTTATCTGTCTTGTACCACTGTAAAGAATGGGCTAAAATGAAGCACGTAACTGAACCTGCTCTTAGTTTCAGAGATCGTTAAGACGATGCCAATCCTGGCTTTTGGATTATCAAGCATTTTGTAATCGCTGTTTGTCACGTGCTTTTCATTTTCTGATGCTCAACTCATAAGCTGTCTGAAGATGTATTTTGCATTTTCTGTCTGTTTTTTTTAGACTTAGTTTTGATTTTTTGTTGACACTCGTCATATCACGCACTTGCAGCATGGCTCTCAAGACCATGTGAAAGAAAGGGATAGGGAGTATAGCAGAAGCAGAGACAGGGAAAGGGAAAGAGGTCGTGACAAAGACAGGGACAGGGCAAAGGATAAGGACCGTGGACATGAAAGAGAGAGGGATAGAGAAAGAGAAAGAGACAGGGATAGGGAAAAAGATAGGGAAAGGGATAGAGACAAGGACCGTGATCGTCATCACCGGGACAGACATAGGGACCGAAGTGAGAGAAGGGAGAGGACCAGAGACAGGGATGATGATGATGACCACTACAAAAGCCGAGATCATGACAGGTATGAATATGATCTAAAAAAAAAATCTGTTTGTAGGTATAGTAACTGCCTAGAAAGGAAAATCGCCATTGCATCGTGACCAATCGATTTCATGTTCTGTAGAAAATGTTTTGTGATATGGGCCATCCCAGCTTATTGTCATCTGCTGTTATTCAAAATTTGTTTCAATATATGATCCTAGGGTTTTATAATGGTTATTCTTTAAAAAAGGATTTTATAATTTATGTATTGGTTTGTAGGCGAAGGGATTACGATAGAGACAGGGAGGACAGACGCAGTCGCAGATCTGGATCTCGATCAAGGGCTAGATCTGAGCACAGATCTAGGTCCAGGTCACGTTCACGTGAACGTTCACGGTCGAAAAGGTAGCTTGTGTAATTTTTCTTGTTTCTTTGCGTTAGTGATTGTACTTGGACAAGGAAGTCTTCTTTCATACATGTTATTGGGGAAAACAATGCTCATTCACATTTGTCTCAGGAGTTAAATGTTATTCTAACTGTTCATTGATCTTGACTGCATGAACTCATGGCTTTAGAAATTTTTATATTGTGATTTTTTATGTGGTAAAAATTTAAGTCTTGTATCTGACTTGGGAAGAGTCATTTCTAAGTTGGGTGTCTTCGAGCAAAAGGACATCCGAAATTTCTAGCTTTTTTTATTAGAAACCATAATAGTGAAGCCTACTAACTCATATAATCTTAAGTAAAAGGATTGTTAATAGTAAAGGTCAGTAGAAACACGCATGCTTCGTAGCTTGGAGCTTTAGGTGCAGACTGGTATTGTTAATATATCCTTTTTGACATGGATTACTTTGCTCGTTGAAATTTCTACACTTGCGCTAGGATTTGAGACCATTATAGCAATTTTGACCAATCTACTTATGGTCCATTGTAGCTTCTACAGTCTATTTTATTTAAGCAACGTATACCTTTTTGGGAAATTGACCAGCTTTTATGTGTATTAAAAAAAAAAAAGTAAAATTAATTAACTTGCATGATGGCCAGTGTTATCTAATCACTAATGGCGGGCGTGGCAGGCTTCTGCCAAACCTCCATGTTAAATTTGTGAAGGATGGCGGTTATGGCAGCTGCCATGGCTGGCCGTTATGGAGGGATTTTGGCTTGCCTCCATTTACTGCCATTCGCCATTAATAACACTTTACGGTTCGGAATTTTTATCTTACCAAGAACCTGTTAGTTTTGGTGTTGATATAATGCGGTGAAGTTAACTTAGTTGTAACCAATATTTCTGTCAACTGTTGCACGTGTATTGTCTTAATAATTCAACTTTACAGCAAGAGAATGAGTGGTTTCGACATGGCTCCACCTGCTGCATTGCTTCCCAATCCCGCCGCTGCTGTTGCAGGTATTACTAAACAATAACGTAATTTAATATGTGGTAACTATTACTTTTTCTTTGGTTGACTTAGTGTGCATGCAAAGTGCGTATCAAAATGCATGGTTTCAATTGGGTAAGCGTACTCCATCCTTCAGTTTTGGAGTACTAATTCGTTGATTGGTTATTTATTCAGTTTCTTATTTATTATTTGCTTGGTGATTGAAACTGAGAGGGTTTTTGGTTTTTTGTTGTGTTTGGTGTTTGTTTGTTTGTTTTGTATGTCCTGTGTAATGTTCTAAGAAGGCAATATTGGGCTACTAGCCCCACTGTGCTGACAATGGGCGTGAGCCGACTTCTGTAGCTTTTATGTACAAGGAAGAATAAACAGGTCTTGTCTATCTTCAACCAGGATTGCATGCTTGATAGTTATTAGAAACATTTTTTATTATATTCTATCCTGTTAAAGAGTTTAATCGCAGGACGACAGTTGACCAGAGTATTGTGGGTTTTAATCTACCAAAAAAAGTTTAATCTACGTTTTTCAACCTTTGCGACCTAAATATAACAAAGGTTTCAGGCATTAATAATATATCATATGTAACTTGGTTTAGCATTTACAGCAGGTCAGCTGCCTGGGACCACCCCTGTTATGCCTGGAATGTTTCCTAATATGCTACCTCTGGCAGCTGGACAGGTTTTCTACTTTACTGTCTCAGTTCTTAACTTATTATCTCTTTGATTCAGATTTTAATGATTTATCGCATCTTTATGCAGTTGGCAGCGCTTCCGATGATGCCTGTCCAAGCAATGACTCAGCAGGTTGAATTTTTGTTTCTCCGACTTACGTTACCTTCTTAGTATTGATTGTCAAATAATATAATATTCCTTGAATTCTACTTTGTCAGGCTACAAGACATGCTCGGCGGGTCTATGTTGGTGGGCTCTCTGCAACTGCTAATGAACAGGTAGTATAGTATGTTCCATATCATTCTAGGACACATGCTTGAATATTTAACTAGCACTATATATAGAGTTGCATACTTACATTATTAATATCCCAATGTTGAAGGATAATTTTTTTCCTTGAAAACTGAATGCACCTTTCTTCATTCAATTCAATCAACGATTTACACTATGTTACATCATCTCATGCTGTTTTGTTTGTATTGTGATGTTACATTTTAAGCTTTTTGGTTACCTGGCTGTTACCTTTTGATTCACAAAATATAGCTTTTAGTTACCGTATTATTTTTTTTATTTTTTTTTGGCCTACAATATGCACTCACTTTTTCATTGGTTAATACCCCCTCATGGCAGTCCGTGGCTACCTTCTTCAGTCATGTTATGTCAGCAATTGGAGGAAATACTGCTGGTCCAGGTTGGTTCACATACATTTACAATTGCTATTTATTTATTTATTCATTCATTCACTTGAAAGTAGCATTTGTGAATGTATTGAACCATCTTGATGCTTTTTGTTCTTTTCCTCATTCAGGAGATGCTGTGGTCAATGTTTATATCAACCACGAGAAGAAATTTGCTTTTGTGGAGATGCGATCTGTTGAGGAGGCCAGCAATGCGATGGCTTTAGACGGCATTATGTTCGAGGTAAGTGCTAATTTAAAAAACCTTAATAAATCTTTGCGTCTTAATATAATAAATAATTTTCCTTTTGGCTACAACATTATATGCTATACATCGTCACAACATTACATATAATTCTTTCCTCCAGGGTGCACCAGTTAAAGTGAGAAGGCCGAGTGATTATAACCCTTCACTGGCAGCAACTCTTGGCCCCAGTATGCCCAATCCCAATCTGAATCTTGCTGCTGTTGGGCTCACACCAGGATCTTCTGGTGGGCTTGAAGGCCCAGATCGCATATTTGTCGGAGGTTTACCATATTATTTTACGGAAGCACAGGTTAGAGAGCTGCTGGAGTCCTTTGGGCCGCTTAGGGGCTTTGATCTGGTCAAAGATAGAGAAACTGGGAACTCCAAGGGCTATGCGTTTTGCGTTTACCAGGATCTGTCTGTAACGGACATTGCTTGTGCAGCTCTCAATGGTATAAAGATGGGAGACAAGACTCTTACTGTCAGACGTGCTAACCAGGGTGTGCAACCTAACCCTGAGCAAGAGAGTGTGCTACTCCACGCCCAACAACAAGTAGCCTTGCAGGTAAATGGAGATTTTGATGTTGTGTTATATGTTATATCCTTTATGTTTGGTACTGCCACCACCAACCCATGAGAGATTTTGTTTTTGTGTTAATCGTGTGTCAGTTTAAGCAACTTTTCATTCATTTTCTCCCGAAGAGACTTGTGAAGCAGTCTACTAACAATTCTCGTTTGTTTCTTTTGCAGAGGCTTATGTTGGCACCTGGCGGGATTACGCCTGCTACAAAGATTGTGTGCTTGACTCAAGTGGTGACTGCAGACGAGCTCAAGGATGATGAAGACTATGAGGATATAGTAGAGGACATGAGAACTGAATGTGCAAAGTTTGGTGAGTGCTCTGATTATTTTGTTCAGAATTTATATTTTCCTCAGCATTTTGAACTTGCAGTCACATGGATGCTGCAAGCGTATTATATAACACAATTGGCATTTCATTGTTTTAATTCATTTGTGCACCTTGTGGATATAACCTTCAACTTCGCGTGTACTCACTGATTTAAACATTTCTCATTAATTTTTGCAGGTTCTTTAGTGAATGTAATCATTCCTCGGCCGTCTGCCAATGGTGACATGTCCCCTGGTGTAGGAAAGGTTAGTTACATGAAATGTATATAAATACTATTATTACTAGGTGTGCCCGTCTTTTATGTCACTCAGAGGTCTCTGTGAGAGTAATTTATTTTGTTTTGTATAGGTATTCTTGGAGTACTCGGACACTGAGAGTTCTACAAAAGCACGACTAGGGCTTAATGGAAGGAAATTCGGTGGAAATCAAGTCGTTGCCGTTTTCTATCCTGAGAATAAGTTCTCTGAAGGAGATTACAGTGGCTAGTACCCAAGCAGTGATGCTCTTAGTCCCCACAGTCCACACACATCCTTAGTGTTTTTTTTTTTCAAAAAGACATTGCTTTGGTTTGTTGAAAGATTCTGTCTTGACTTTATGTACGCTAATGGATTTAATCACTTTGATCAGGCATCATGAATTTGAAAAACTCTGAACAACCATGCATTTTGGATTTTGTTTCCGTGTGCAAGAAATTCCTGCACAATGTTGCCCAGCTATATTGTTGATTTTAATGTTTCAACTAGGGTTGCAAACGAGCTTAGTCGAGCATTGGCCATATCGAGTAGGATTTTTTTTTTTTTTTTTTTTTTTTTTTTTTTTTTTTTTTTT